CGAACCCAACCCTGCAAAACCAGAGTGATGGCTTCGACTGATGCTCGCAGTCCTGAGGCGCCGGGCGCAGGGGTGACCCGCATATTTTTATTTTTTTTTTCCCCTCCTTAAAGGCATTTGTCAGATTCTGTATGAAAAAATGCGTCTGACCCTGCCACATGCAAATGATGTGAACCTGCTATCCTCTCATCTGATACCAAAACAAAGGAAGCAGAGGCTCGCTACGGCTACCCAGCATTGTACACAGCACACAGCAAGGTTTTTTTCATGAACTTACACTGGGTATATTATCGTTGGTACAGACCCCCTCTGATAGTAATCTGTCTCGAATCTCCCACGCAAAGATGGAGGGGCACTCTCGTTTATACTGCGCTATTTTGCTTACAACTTCTGGAGTCGCTACTCTCGGTTTACTACCTCCGATTGCCCTGGGTCTGATGGAGCCAGTTTCGTAATACCTGCCCAAAATTTTACTCACACATCCATTCGACACCTGGATAGGGAAGCGGACAGAAAATCACATTATTAATAATTTCAAGACAAAAATAAAATTGTTTAAGTATGCATTAAACAATGACAAGCTTACGTTTTGATTGTCCAGCACTTGGACTTTTGCATCTGCATGGGTCTATAACACAAAAATATACCTTAAATGGTATGAGAACTTACTTAGCGAGTCTTTTTTTTCTTTAAAAAAAAAAATTACATTCGTGGCCCTACCCTCTACAAAAGTGATACTTTAAAAACATTTGGAAGAAAAAAAATCTGGTCAAAACGTAATTCTTTTAGTATTAATGTTAAAATACGCCTTAAATGCGAACAATAGCTAAGCCAGACTAGTCTCCATCGTCCTCACTGCTCTTAGACAGAGTACTTGCGGGGGACAGGGTGAGCGAGGGGTTATCGAGACCTACATTTACAATGTACCCCTGAGCTGCGCCAGGTCGCGTTAGCGTCCGTAAAGACAGACTCCGGGCTAAAACAGCGTGGCTTTGAGGGGGTTTCTTTTTTTTTTTTTTCTTTTTCCTCTTTTTTTTTTTCGTTTTTTTTGAAGAAAAAAAAAGGTAAAAATAAAAAAGCAGCAAGCCACGCCAAATGCATACAAATCTCACAAAATCATAAGTAAATATGGGGGGAAAGGGGGAAGGAGAGAAAACTGAAATTATGCCAAGCCGTATAATTCAGTTTATTACAGCGAACTAACTGTAACGAGAGTGCAGGTTATCACCGGATGGAAATAAAGGGGAACAAAAAAAATTTTCAAATATTTTAAAAGGTAGAGAGAGATATATATACACGCGTAGAAAGGTCTATTTGCAGCAACAATCGAGATAAGCAGATGGATCGTTTTATTAGGCTGGAAGGCGGGTGGCGGTGGCGGTGGTGGGTGGGTGG